AATTCAACAAAATAACTCAACTCATTATTCTTCTTCAAACTGGCAGAAGGTCATTTTCAAAAACAATATGAGTTAAGGGGATACAACCTTCCTAATACCACACTCAACTCCGTGAATTAGGAGCTTTAGTTCTCCCTACATTCACTCTAACATCATGCATAAGCATACAACTCAACTACAACCACCATAGGCTCGTGCTAACATCCAAGCACTCAAAAACATATATAAAAGATACATATATAAAAAAACATAAAAAATCATCATCATCATCATATCATAATCATTATCAACATTACTCAACATCATGCATGGTTATGGCCTATACATCATTACTACACTACAAGAAAAAAGCTAATTACTAATGGATCTATATCCACAAAAAATATATATTACTAACTGATTAAGAATCTATAGATAAATAAAATTTATTCACGGGTTTTTGTTCATAAAAACAATCAACATTTTTTACAGATATTACTGACAGATATGCGACAAAAAAATCTTGTTTTAAAATTTTCAATGGATATTACCCCCAAAATTTTTCAGTGGAAAAATATGAATTTTTCAACCAACATTAATTTTCCACTGATTATTTGTCAAAAATTACATTCGTTGAAAACTAGAAAAATCTGTCGATAACTTTAATAAAACATTGACAACAAATTAAATAAAAAAAGTAACCATTAAAATCCTTAAATAATTTTACATGCTAATTATTTTTATATATAAATTAAAAACTTATTATTTTCATCAATTATACAATATATTTTTTAAATAAAAAAATAAATATATTATTTTTAATATATAAATTGATAAATATGTACAATAATTTACTTTTAATTTTAACTCTTAAATATCTTTTTAATTAATAAATTACTTTAGGTTGTGTTTGGATAGAGAATTTTAAAATTCTAAAAAAACTTAAAACAACTAAATTCTTTATTTTTTAAATTTTATATTTTCTTATGCTTTTTATTTTTCAACCTTTGCTTTTGTTGCATGTAAAATTTTATATTTGAATAAATTATTTAAATTTATTTCATTTATAAATACTTATTAAATTAAATAATTATTTTTTTTAATTTATATTATTCAAATAAAATAGTTATTTTTTATTTTATGTAACATGAAAAAATCTTAATATTATTGATAATTAATTTTATTATTATGAACAAATCTCTTAATAGTTGTTACCATAACTTTTTTTTGTGAATCTTGAGTTTTTAATAAAAAATTCTAAATTATTTTTATAATCATTCTTAAGATATTAATAATTCTTTATAATTTAAAAATATAAAACCATTTAATTTTTATGTAATAAAGATATCTAATAAATAGTAATGAAAGTTTATCAAGCTATATACATAATTTCTCAATCATTCAATTTTCAAACACATTTATAAGAGTCGACTAATAAAGTTAAAGGAGTTTTTTAATTCCTTATTTTAAGAAGGAATTAGAATTCTAGGACCTTTTTTTTATTATACTATTTTTTTTATTACCCAAATAACCAACCGTCTAATTATTTACCTAACTGACTTATTTCCCCAACCAAAGTGAGAAATTAGTTGGGGAACCGATTTCTCACATGCCCCTCCCGCCCACCCCCCACCTCACCTTTTTTTTAGCCTAGTGAGAAATTGGTTGTTGCGAAATCGATTTCTCAACTTGGATTTTTTTTAGCGTTTTTTTATTGTTTGTATTTTAAAATTTTAAAAATTATTTTAATTTAATTTAAAATTTATTATTTTTAATATTTAAATTATATATTTTAAAAAACAAATATATATAAGATC